GTTTAGAGTTTAGGGTTTAGGGTTTATGGTTTAGGGTGTGGGGTTTAGGGTTTAGGGTTTAGGGTTTAGGGTTTGGTGTTTGGTGTTGAGGGTTTCGGGTTGAGGGTTGAGGGATTAGGACTCACCTCATCCTCCACATCCGCATCAGAGCTGATCGCCGCGCCCAAGACGGTCTTGGCACGCCACGCCTCGAATAACCTCGAAACCATGACCCCTGAACCCTGAACCCTGAACCCTGATGAATCCTGAACCCTGAACCCTGATGAACCCTGAACCCTGAACCCTAATCCTGATGCACCCCGAACCCTGAACCCAACACCCAAAACACATCCTCACCTCATCCTCCGCATCCGCGTCCCGATCCGAGCTGGTCTCCGCCCCCAAGACGGGCTTGGTAGGCCATCCCTCGAACGAGTCGATCTCGAGCGTCGGTTTCTCACGCGAGAGAGGGGGCAGCTGCCCCCCTGCCCCTACGACGCCGGCGCCGCTGCCGTGGAGCCGCGTCTGCAACGTGCGAGAACCGCTTCAGTACGCTAATTCGGGGGAATCCGGGGAAACCTACTTTTCTTTCAGAGTCTGGCAACAAAAATTACTACACGAATGCTTTAATATTACTAGTAAGATCAAACTGTGTAGTAAATTTCGTGGATTGTGAACCTTTCTAGAAAGCCCGTGAGCCCCCCCCCCACGACGCCGGCGCCGCTACCGTGGAGCTGCGTCTGCACGCGCGGGCACCGCTGCAGTACGCGAATCCGGGGAACTCCGGGGAAACCTACTTCTGTAGTTAAGACAGTCACCTGCAAAGTGGACACTGAGTGGACCGTGCAGGGTGTCCACTCGCACCGCGGTCTCTTTCAGAACCCCGCGGATCTTACCACCTCGCGCACCCAACTTTCCCATGGCTGTCAGTCTACTTTAGACGTGACCGGGAGCAATCATAAGTTGACACAAGGGAAGAATGTACAGGATCCTGTACATTCTGCCAAAAGTTGACTCACGCCTACTGATGAGTTGACTTTTGCGATTGACCACCCTCAGGTCTAGCGTAGTGGTTCACAATGACCCCGGCGCCGCTGCCGTGGAGCCACGTCTGTAGGGACGCTCCGGGTTCAGGGTCCAGGGTTCATCAGGGTTAGCATCCAGCGTTCAGCGTTCATCAGGGTTCAGGGTGCATCAGGGTTCAGGGCGCATCAGGGTTCAGGGTTCAGGGTTCAGGGTGCATCAGGGTTCAGGGCTCATCAGGGTTCAGGGTTCAGGGTTCAGGGTTCATCAGGGTTAGTGTCCAGGGTTCAGCGTTCATCAGGGTTCAGGGCCCATCAGGGTTCAGGGTTCAGGGAGACGCGTGTGCACGCGCGGCCTCATTTCAGAAAAGCCTTTTGAAAAAGAGATTCTCGTCAACGAACGTTACTACACAGACGCTCTACTATTAGTTCCACCGCCTCTCTCTCTCTCTCTCGCTCGCTCGCTCTCTCTCTCTCTCTCTCTCTCTCTCGGGGCAAGGGCGCTGACCACGAAGGCGGGGCTAAAGTTAGTGATCCTCAAGCCTAAGAGCCGTGAGGGCAAACTTCACTCATGACTTAATTTATCGCTGCCAGTGGTTTGCACCATGACTTCAACTTGAATTATTCAAACATCCAAATACATATATCACAGGTAACAGCCCTCGTAAACACTCTCCGCGATGAAATAAGTCATGAGTAAGGTTTGCCCTGTCGGCTTTTAGACTTGAGGATCACTTATTTGCCTAGGCTTGAGATCAACCACTCGAGACTGGAAATGGGACTAATTTTAAGCGTGAGTAACGTGACCTCCCCTCCTGAAATGCGACTTTTAGGTCGAAGCAGGTTTTAAACATGGTCCCATTTCCAGCCTCGAGTGGAATAGCGAAGAAGAAGAAGAAGAAGAAGAAGAAGAAGAAGAAGAGGAAGAAGAGCAAGAAGAAGAAGAAGAATGTGGGGGGGGGCTCACCTGCATGGGAGACGGGATGGAGGAAGTTTCAACAAGGAGAAAATTTCCACACGAGGGAAATGCCAATTTCCTACGCTTGAGAGCAATAATAAAGAAGAAGTGGTTGGATTCACCTGCATGGAGGACGTTTCCGCCATGATGGGGATGAGGTGAGTCCTAGACCCTAAACCCTAAACCCTTCAGGGGGGGGGGGGGGTACCTGCATAGGAGACGGGTTGTGGAGGAAGTTTCCGCTTGGAAGGTCTGGCAGGTCGTGCACCTGTCCGAAAGAGACACCGGTTCAGTGTGTCGTGTCCGAAAGATACACCGGTTCAGGTTGTCGTGTCCGGAAGAGACACCGGTTCAGGGTGTCTTGTTCGAAGGATACACCGATGCGGGGTTTCCAGTCCGGAAGAGACACCGGTTGAGGGTGTCTTGTCCGAAAGAGATACCGATTTAGGTTGTCGTGTCCGGAAGAAACACCGATTCGGATGGTCTCGCCCGAAACAAGATGGCGTGTCCTGTCAACAATAAACCGCCACGCCATAATGTTCGAGGGAATCCGACGCCTTACCCGCGACAGATCTGTCGCGGTTGACTTAAGAATTCAAGGGCTTTCCCTTGAAAGATGTCAAAAGTGGATGTTTCGAGTGCCCTGGCGTGGTTGGGTTGGTCTTCCTTATTCCAATCCTTCTGGCGTGGTGAGGCAGCTAGTGGATGGGCATCGTTCGGACCTCGTCGAGTTCTTCAGAGGAATGCGACGAAGAGTCGTCATCTCGTCGCAGGCTGCGCACGAAGAAACATCAGTCAGAGAATATCGAAACATCAGTCAGAGAATATCACGAAGATTTCAGGCTGCGCACGAAGAAACATCAGTCAGAGAATATCAGTCAACTAAACCAGAAATACCAGTCAACTAAACCCAGCGGTCTCAGTCAACTAAACCCAGCGGTATCAGTCAAATAAACCGAGCGATATCAGTCAATTAAACCCAAGTGATCAAACCAGCGATAGCAGTCAAATAAATCTTTTGAAAATCAGAGTGATAACGAGCAGGAGGTACCACACAGCGGGCTAAAAGGGGATTTTCGGGCACTCAGTGCCCGAGTTTCCGTTACCTTATCCATAGGAACCCCCCTATGTCCCTACGGGTTGCCTACCGTAGGGTCCTAGGTCTTATCGCTTAGGGGTTATTCGAAATCCCTTCGAAGTCCGTTGTGTGGCCAGGACAGGTTTTGGCTCGAGAGCAACCAGAAAGCAGAGGCGGGGTACCACGCCAGAGGCCATCCACTTTAAAAAACATCCACTTTTGACATCATTCAGCGGAATCGCGGAGGATTCTCAAGTCAACTTTCGCCAGATCTGGCGTCGATAAGGCAGTCATTGCCCTCGAGCCCTCTGGCGTGGAAGGGACTTGTTCGGAGGCTTGAAGCGGCGCTAGGGCGTGAAGGTTCAGGGTTCAGGGTTGAAAGTCAAGATGTAGTTATTACCTTATTCGCGTCTTCCTTATTTATCTTGAGTAAACACCCAACCGGTTCACGGATCGGTTTACGGTTTACGGTTTACGGCTCAGGGCTCAGGCCCCAGAGCTTGAAGGCCAGGTTCTTGCTGGAGAGAAATGAAAGAGGAGAAGAAGGTATTAGAAGAAGAGTGTAGGGTCGGGGTTTTGCAAGAGAGAAGACATCAGGAAGAGGAGAAGACTTAGGGTGTAGGGTGTAGGGTGTAGGGTGTAGGGTGTAGGGTGTAGGGTGTAGGGTGTAGGGTGTAGGGTGTAGGGTGTAGGGT